AGGCCCTGCCCTTTTGTAAAAACCTTCAGTCTAACATGGAAAAAAACCCAAACAACTAACGGTCTAATTCTGAATTTAGCTACACTCAAATAAACCATTTCCCAGATTCTTCGGAATTTGAATATAAAGATTGCTTGGTCTACAACGCCCTTTCTTCTTTCAAATTCAAGTCAACTTCATTTCTTTCTCTTTACCCCGCTAAGAAAAAATATAAATAGCATTGACTAAAATGCCTCAAGTTTAATATTTCACTTTTAACAAATTTCTGGCTTGGTTTTTTTAAACCCGTCGGCGTCTCTCAAATGTCACTCATTTTTTAACAAATTGTAATCACAATTTTCTAAACAAACACATGGAAATGAATGGCTTCAGATTTTTCGAGAAGGCAGAGGTTAAATAATTGGAAGCTTCTTCCGTATGGGCTTCACATTTAGTAGATGCTTTATAAAATCATTTGAATGTAAATAATCTAAAGTTTCTCAAAAAAGGCCTGAAAACCAGTATGATAAACTCAACAACTCATCACCTACCAAATAAATTTCCGGCTCAACTATCTATTCAACTTTCCCTTTCATTCCATTGGGGAACGACAACTAAAATTTTAAGTTGGGAGCAATGTTTCTTTTTCTTTTTTGCAACAGCTGTGCCCCTTTGTGATGAGCACTGTAAACTTAGTTTCAGGTCCAAGCAGGAGACAGTAAGTTACACAGCAATCCGCTTTTGCTTCCTTGACAGTTTTCCCTACTACTGCACTCGCTTTTAATTTTGAAGTCAATCTCACGTATGTCTTTCCTCCACATTAACAGAGGGACCCACTCGACATTTTGAACAACAAAGGCCGGCCTTCCCCGCCCACGGCCGGCCTCCCGCAGCAGCCGGTCAGGAGCAGGGGGACAGCACCGCCGGGAGGAGGCCCGGGCCGGCCCGAGGACGGGCAGGCGCCGCTCCCGAAGGCCGCCCACAAGCAGACGAGCCAGCCATGTATGGAAGAAGCCGGGACAAAGACCAGCGCGCTCCTCGGATCCCACCATCACCTACCCATTAGTCGCCCGTGGGTCTCTCCAGGGAACCCCTGGGATCAGCGGATCTGGCCGCCGCGTCCGGACATCCGGGCCACGGCGATGGCGGCGGTTCCGCCTCCCGGTAACCCGGGCGACCGCCCCAAGTCCCGCCCCCGTTTCCGGGTCTGGGCGCCGAGGCCCCGCCCCTGAGCTGCTGGCGTCCCGCCCCCTCTCGTAGACCTGGGCGGGCGCGGGCTGGGGACGGACGCTGTGGGACCGCGGTGGGGTCCTCGGACGAAGGCTATGGAGAGCTCGCTGGCCGTGCCGCGGCTGCCCCCGTGCGACCCAGGGATACCGGCGCTCTCGGTGGTGGACATGCACACAGGCGGCGAGCCCGTGCGCATCGTGCTGGCGGGGTGTCCGGAGGTGGTCGGGGCCACCTTGCTGGCCAAGCGGCGCTATATGCGCCAGCACCTTGACTATGTGCGGCGACGGCTCATGTTCGAGCCCCGCGGGCACCGGGACATGTATGGGGCAGTCCTGGTGCCCAGCGAGCTGCCAGACGCGCATCTGGGCGTCCTCTTCCTGCACAACGAGGGCTACAGCTCCATGTGCGGCCACGCGGTGCTGGCGCTGGGCCGCTTCGCGCTGGACTTCGGCCTGGTGCCGGCGCCCGCGGCGGGCGCCCGCGAGGCCCGCGTCAACATCCACTGCCCCTGCGGGCTGGTGACCGCCTTCGTGGAGTGTGAGGGCAGCCGCAGCCGCGGCCCAGTGCGCTTCCATAGCGTCCCGGCCTTCGTGCTGGCCGCAGGTAACCGGCGGAGCCGCTGCCCGGGATGTTACTAACTGCATTGACCTGGTCACTGGGCTGGCACCCACGCGGCGCAACTAACCCACCCCGGGTGCCCTGGCAATTAATGGAAAAGTGATTCTAAATTACCGCGGACGTGCGCCTGCACGTCAGCCTTGCTTGGAGCATGCAATTAGATTATCCGCAGAATCTGTCCGCCTGTGGTCTCGTCTCAGGAGAGCCTTGAGTGAGGAATTCCTGTTGCCCTTACTCAGCGCCTTTTTCTGCACTTAACTAGGCACTCCTGGAGAATTCACAGTTGATAAAGCAAGGTATGCCAGGGTCAGGGAAAGAGCGAGAACGGCCGATTACCGGGATTCCAGCCTGCCTCGACTGCGCTTGGTAGACACGTCACTAACCCTAAGAAGTTACTAAGCACAGTCCTGTGTCCTTCACCTTCCCCACTTCTGTGAGGAAGAATTCAATGAGTAAATTAAGCAGTTTATAAGTCTTGAAGATACATATGTTGCTTTTATTCTTTAAGGACAGGTATAGATATTGCCGGCATACAAATACAGCCCCTGAAAGCGTCAAACCTTAGGCAAATGACTTAACTTTTCTGTACCTATTTTCCTTCGTTCATCTCATAGAGGGGTTTGAAGTTAGGATTAAATGAGAGTATGCAAGATACTTAAAGTACATACCTCGAGATGGAAAGAGCAGGATATATAGGATTGCAAGTTAGGGGTTCTAGGCATAAAGAACCTTAAAGGTTTTGCCGGGCTCCCTAGTACAGATCCTTGCATAGTATATCAGGGCTAGCAGGGCATCTCTATAACCATAACCCTTACAAGAGGGAGCTCCCTCATGGGGAGGACCTGGCAAGCTGGCTTCTGGTCTTATCTGAATATTCTTTCCAAGGCACTAAATTCTATCCGTGAAGATACTTGAGCAGTTGTGACTGGAAGTGAGCTGGGAGATAATCTGGTTAATCTGGGAAGAGGGTTGTATCACCTCTTTTTTTCAACATCTTTGAGCCATGCAAACCAGTCTCTTGGAAAGTTTGATCTTTATCCTCCCTGAGGAACTGGGCTGCAAATTAACCTGATTACGAACAAATAGTGCTTGAACAAACACTGTCACTCTCAGAGAACTCCAGGCAGCTGAAACACACAAGTTGGTTAGAAATGTCTCTGGAGAAGCTGATGTGACTTCCCCCTTTAAGAGACAATGGTGTCACATTTGGATTGGAAGGGCATTTGAGGACAATTTTAAAGACAAGGAACCTGAAACTCAGTGAGGAAGAGGTATCACACTCTACCCAATTGCCCACCCCAAATTCTAGAAAGGATGAACCAGGAGAATGATTGTATGCCCAGGGATCACTTCTCTGGAGCCAGCTTCCACACTCTTCCCTGGCCCCAGGACTGGTGGCCAGTGGCTCGTTCAGTTGTACAATCAAGAGAAGAGGTAGACCCATTGAACCACAGGCTTGCCACCTTCGCACCTTAGCTGTCCACATTCTGGCAGTCCCTCAGTGCCTCTGCTTCCTCCTTAAACCTGCTTTTCCTGTTGTGCCAGCATCAAGATAAAGATATTTGGGGTTCAAGTTTGCTGTTAAAATCCACAGGCCTGTTTAATGCAGTTGTAAGTTGGCTCTGGTTTGCTACATCATGTGTTTAAAGTGCTTCTGTGAACTGGTCTATAACTTAGCGCACACTGGGATCCTGTTATGACTCGGTGTGAAAACTCAGGAATACAAGGAATATTTTCTTTATAACTAGATTCCTGAAATGGGGACTCCACTCTGTTCTGTTGGTTGACTTGCCACATCCTTTCTTGAGTCTTCTGTGCTCTTTCTTGATATGTATGAACAAAAGTTTCTTAAAAGTGTCAAGACCTTGGAGAGGAGGGCCCTTCTGTCCTCAGCTGGCACATTAAAACCTTGCCTGCCCTACTCCATGCAGCCCCGGCCCTCTGCCTCTGCCCCTGCCCCTGGATTTCCATGGAAATACAGACTCAGAATTTCAGACAACTGACCTTCAGGTGAACTTTTGGGTATGTCAGGGACTTAAGATGCTCAAATATGCTAAATGCTACTGTGGAGGTTAGTGATTTTACAAAGGCTTTATTCTGAGTATTTGCCTGCAGGATGCTTTAATGAGATGAAACCATGCAGATAATTAAGTATATATAATTTAAATAGAAAAATCTTTAATTTTTTATTTTGACATTATAGCTGGAAAAAAAACAAATTATGAATAGGATCCAAAATCCTCACTATTGTAAACTCACCGTTTTCCTTCATAGTGTTCACAGGGATGTCCCAGGAGATGCCCTCTCTCAGCCCCCGTGGTGTTGCCTAGAAAAATATCCTCAGAGCAGGATGTGGATGACTGGGGAAAATGTGCCATTCAGTATCATAACTTATACAAATAGCAGTTAAAAACAGAAGCTGCACCCAACTATTATTTACCTAATGCTTACTCATTTTAAAAACTGATTTTTTTGCTTCATTCCTGTTTAAGAAAGAACACCTCCCCTCCCTTTGCTGGAAATAAAAACATTTAAAATGCTGTGAATTTTGTTGCTAAAATATTTACTAACAAACACATCTTATTTCTAAACACATCTCTTTTAGATATCACAGTGGATGTTCCTGGACACGGGCAGGTGGTTGTAGACATTGCATATGGTGGAGCATTTTATGCATTTGTTAGTGCTGAGAAGTTAGGCCTTGACGTTTGTTTGGCAAAGACGAGGGACCTTGTGGATGCAGCAAGTGCAGTGACAAAAGCAGCGAAAGCTCAGGTTGGTGCAATTACTTCCTTCATAGCAGGTGTTCTCCTCTGTGGCATGAACAAGATATCATGTCTATAAAGAAAATTAAATATCTAATACCTAACATTTAAATTATTAGCAGTGCTTAGAGTACTGGTTAAAAATCTTAGGTTTTAGAGCAGAACGACCTGTGAGTTCCAGGTAGTTTATAACCACTTGTAATGTTTACAACCTTAGGTAACCTCTTATCTGTAAAATGGAAATTATGATACCCCTTTTGTAGGGCTGTAAAAATGAAACAAGTCAATACATGTAAAAGACTTAGAATAGTATCTGGTCTATAATAAATATTCAATAGATTATAATTATTAATTTTGATTCCTCTATACTAATGTAGTTTGTGGTTATTTAAATATATATGATTCCACTAATTTAAAATGCATGTGCTTTGCTATATGTAGTCATTCTGTAAAACTTGAAAATAATGAATGTAAACTAAAATAGCTTACAAAATAGACTTCATTGACTCTTATAAGACTTTGTTATTCACAGAGAACATGAATTCCTAATTAGTGAATTTTTTCCTGTATTGTTCAAATAACTCTAGTTTCAGCTTAGGAAAGCTATTCTGATAAAATCAGTTCATTCTGCCTTGAAATTGGGACCCATAAAGAAAACACAGGTGTAGTATTTGAATGTTTAGTGTGTGAGAACTTAATTATTAGTAGTGTTAAGTATAACTTACAAAAGATAGTGTCCAATTATTATAAAGACTTTAACGTAATTTATAACTTAACAAAATGAAAACCTATATAGTATGTCACTGTTCTAAATTATTTTCCAGGACTGTCAATACCAGTATGTGGAGTTATGTTATCACAGTAAAATCGCAAGCTGTGAATTTACATCAGTTTTCTCCTCCATTAGACAGACAGATAATAGTTTGAGTTATTTAATTGGGCACAAAATAATTTCACCTGATTTTTAATGAATTCAACAGAAAAAAGTCATAGTTTTCTTAATAAAAAGAATAATTGTGAACTTTTCAACAAAGTGACAGTGGGTGGACTTTGAGGGAGGAGGGATGCTGAGAAAAGCATGAGGACACGTCGTATTATTGATGTACCAGGCAGCACAACTGCTCTGTGAACTGCTGACTGGGACTTAAGGAAAGGCCTTTGGGGACAGGGAACTACAGTTGATACAATATAAATCCATCTCCATCCGTTCATTCTTTTAACAGACATTTATTAAGAATGCATTGCATGTCAGTCATCATATCTAATGTCCAAGACTCAAAGAAAGAACAAAGCCCACCTTCAAGGACCTTGCTCTGTGGGAGGGAGAGGGCATAGCTGTGAACAGTGTTATGTCCATGTCCAAATGGTGGGTGTAGAGTGTGAGGGAGGAAACGCAAAGACCCCACCTGCCGGCCTCTTTCTTTTTTTATTTTTTAATTTCAGATTAATATGAGGGAACAAACAATTAGTTTACAATGTTTACATCTGTTAAATAAAGTCCCTATTGTAGTTGTGTCCTGCAAAAGTAAAAAATAAAATTTGCAGGCCTCTTTACCTCAGCTTAGATGGACTCTTTGATTTTAAGAACTTAAGTCTCTATTCAGTTGGTTTAATTGACAAGTGGGATGTACTAATTGTCCAGATACACAGGAAAGTAAAGTATAGTAATCTGTGTCACACTACCAGACATCACAGGGTTCCGGAAAGGTTAAACAACCCTGCCTCCCAGGAAGAACAGGAGGCACTGCACACAGGGGCTTGAACGTACTGCTGAGCGACTTAGCTCCTGGCCAGGCCTGCCTGTGGGTGTGAATCTGCTGCTTTTCTTGGAACCGCTGACTTCATCCTCGACAGTAAATCTTTGCATCCAACTCTCTTACCTGCTTAAAACGTGTGTTTGCTCTCGCCCTCTCACGGTCCTTGTCTCTATCACAGTATTAAAGTTCACCTTTGGGCGCTCACTGCCTGATTCTTCCACATTCTCCAGCTCCTGGGAATGAGAACAGGGTGGTCTTAGCTCATCCTGCTGGAGCAGCCACAGTCGTGCCTCAGAGTGCGTGTGCTTGAAGGGTGAGGTGTGTATAAAGTAATACTGTTCCTTCAGCAGAGTCTGTGCACAGGACAACATCCACAGAGTGATAAGACTCGTAACTTCCAATAAAACTATGCTCATTCATCGAAACAAAGACATAATTTCTAGCATTTAGTTCCTTGCCCTAAAAGGTATTTCAAAAATGATAAAGGTTGAAAAGTTACATTGAAGATGTACATTGCCTTATTTATGAAGATAAATTTGAACCAAAATATTCATTTTCCATGTGGCTGATAATTGTTCTTTGCAGTTTAAAATTAATCATCCTGACAGTGGAGACCTTGCCTTTCTATATGGAACCATAATAACAGATGGAAAAGATGCTTATAGTGAGGAACCAACCACTAACATCTGTGTGTTTGCAGATGACCAGGTATGAAAACTAATTTTTAGGCACAAAACCCAGAATAGAAGCCAAAGCACTGTGAACATTGTTATCTTCCTTTGTTCTGGAACAGGTTGACAGAAGCCCAACTGGCTCAGGAGTGACAGCCCGAATTGCCTTACAGTATCATAAAGGGCTTCTAGGACTGAACCAGACCAGAGCCTTTAAAAGCAGCACAACTGGCTCCATGTTCACAGGAAAAGCTGTGAGGGTGAGTGGCAGCCTTAGCGTCTTACCTGTAAATGTGCTCCTCATGGCACTGATAGGGCCTGAGAGAGGGCTTCAATTAAGTTTCTTCACTTAGCTCTCAGAAGAAAATTTTAAAGCAGGACTGTAAAAACTTTTTTTCAACTAGTACCTTGGTTCTCAAAGTTTGGTCTTGGGACCCAAGGAGGCCCCAAGGTCTTTTCCATGGGTCCACAAGGTCAAAACTGTGTTCAAAATGATACTAAGACATTATTTGTTTTTCATTCTCATTCTCTCCAGACTGTACAGTGGAGTCCTTCCAAGGCTGAATGCAGAGGCAGATGTCAGAACCTAGCTGTCTTCTGTTAAGCCCAACATGAAAGAGGCTTGCAAAATTTTTTTTCTTAGTTTTGGCAAATAGTTATTTTCACAAAAATGTGTTATTTATACTTTAATATGGATGGGTTTATTGTGTTTTAAATGAAATAATGAGCAAATATCTCTAATTCCCAACACAGCAAATACTGATATAACATACACAAACAAGAACTCTTCGAGGTTTTCAAATCTAAAATCTTTCAAAATCTTCTGAAACCAAAGCTTTGAGAACCACTAAATTAGGATTTGATTTGGGGGTGGTGGGGGGTTGGTTTTTTGTTTTATTTCTTAGTAGTGTTTCATGTTGTATGATAGGAAGTAGAAGCATGAAAAGTTGTGGAAAGTAGAATTTATGAATTGGAACCAAATTTTAAATGTGCTAAAAGCTAGTTGCTGAATCTACTCATTGTGTTATAGTAAATAAAACCTGCTGTAGCATGATTAATCTGCATTTAGTAAATGAATCTACTCAGAAGGAGTCCTTTAACATAGCAAACTATCTTAACATAGCTGGGATTTTTTTTGTTCTTTTGAGACAGAATCTCTGTTGCCCTGGGTAGAGTGCCCTGGAGTCATAGCTGACAGCAACCTCCAACTCTTGGGCTCAATCGATTCTCTTGCCTCAGTCTTCCCAGTAGCTGGGACTACAGGCGCCCACCATAATGCCCAGCTAATTTTTCTATTTTTAGTAGAGACAAGGTCTCACTCTTTCTCAGGCTGGTCTTGAATTACTGAGCTCAATCCACCTCTCTCAGCCTCATGGAGTGCTGGGATTATAGGCATGAGCCACTGTGCCTGGCCAGTATTTTTAAGGTTCGATTGTTCTGAATATTGACCTTTCTTCAAGTTAGGGAAATCCTGTATTATATAGTGATCTCATAGTATACAAACTGTTATATGCAAAAATTTGTAGCACCTTTTCCTTAGAATCTGAGATTATGCATAAAAATAATAACCTGCATGTATTGGGCCCTTTGCTGTGAGTCAGTCTCCAAGCTAAGTACTTTATGCTTACCATCTCATGGACTCCTCACGAGAATCCTAAGAGGTTGGCACTGTGCTGTTAATAGGTGATAAAATGGGAAATCAGAGAAGTTAGATAATTTGCCAGAGGTTACTTAATGAGCATGGGGACTGGGCTGTGAATGTGGCCTCTCGGAGCAGACCCTGTGGTGCTAAGCACTGTTTTAGATCACTTCTGGCAAAGCAGAAGTTGTATGGGTATAATGTTATAGCAGGTTATGTTATACCCTAATTTAATATGTGACACTTTACCTTTAGCTTCACGCATTCTTGTTTAAGGAATTATGAAAGACACTGCAATGCTGTGGTTATAGCCGGGTGCGGTGGCGCATGCCTGTAGTCCTTGCTACTCAAGGGGCTGAGACAGAAGGATTGCTTGAATCCAGAAGTTCTGGGCTGTAGTGTGCTATGCCGATCGGGTGTCTGCAATAAGTTCAGCATCAATATGGTGACCTCCCACAAGTTGGGGGCACTAGGTTGCCTAAGGAGGGGTAAACCGGCCCAGGTCAGAAAGCTTCTGTGCTGATCAATAGTGGGATCGCGCCTGTGAATAGCCACTGCATTCAAGCCTGGGCAACATAGTGAGACCCCATCTCTTAAAAAGAAATAAAAGATTTGGAGTTATTTACTCTATGGTTATTTATCATGTTCCAGAGGGTGTGCACTTGCACCACACTCTCCCTCTCACCTGGGCCTTCCAGGCCATCTCATGGTACCTGTTCTGTCTCTTGTCCTGCCCTGGCTTCCTTTCCCCATCCTTCCATTTAGGTGTCCCCATCATTTCATTCTATCTTCCTCCTCATCCCATCCACGGTTTGACCTCACTGGGCAGTTTCATCCACTTCCTAGGCGTCCATTCTCAACCATCTGCTGCTGCTGACTACCAAACCTTCATCTCTACCACACCTACCCTGTGCTTCCTTTTTAATTTACTACTTTTGGGGGGAGGGAAACAGGGTCTTACTCTGTTGCCTAGGCTACAGTACAGTGGAATCTTTATAGTTCACTAAAGCCTCCAACTCCTGGGCTCAATCAATCCTCCGGACTCAGCTTCCCAACTAGCTGGGACAACAGGCACACACCACCACACAGGGCTAGTTTTCCTACTTTTTAATAGCGATGGTGGTCTTGCTCTTGCTCAGGCTGGTGTCAAATACCTGGCCTTAAGCTGTTCTCACACCTTGGCCTACCAAAGTGCTAGAGTTACAGGTGTGAACCACTGCACCTGGCCTGAATCTATCACTCTTAGTCCCAGCTGTTCATTGTACTCATCTCTAAATGATCGTCCCAGAGGTATCTCAAACTTACCTTGTTAAAAAATTCTTCCTTCCTAAAATGTGTTCCTCCTCCTCATCCCCCATCATGGTTAATGGCATCACTAGCATCACTTCCTAACTAGAAACTGGTCATATTTAACTTATTCCTACTCCTCAGATCCCACATACATTGGCCAACAGGCCTGTCCACTCTCCTCCAAAGTCTCTCTGTGTTGTGTTCTCCATCTTCACCAGACCTATTGCAGGGACTGTGGATTCAGTCACAGTCTATCTCTTAACAGACGTCTGCATTTCTAGTTTCTCTCCTCTCCAGTTTATCCCTCACTTAACAGCTTAATGTATCAAAACACATCGTCTGATCATGTCACCCTCCTTAAAAACCTTCCTTTTCCCATAGGATTGCCCTGGAATTTTCTTCAACATGGTAAAAACCAAGAGGACAACTTTTAGGCCAAATACAACATAAGCACAGTATTTTGATAGCATATTCTTTTCATGTTCTTTTTTCAGGAAGTAAAATGTGGTGATTTTCCAGCTGTCGTAGTGGAAGTGTCAGGACAAGCTCATTACACGGGCACAGCCAGCTTTACCGTAGAAGATGCTGACCCACTGAAGGACGGGTTTCTGCTCCAGTGACTTCTTACATGACTTTCAAGACTTCCTTTTTAAAGTCATGCTTATCTATAATTGACACTTCCTCTAAATTATGTGAAAATCAATATCTAAATTATACGTATAAGCTCATTTCCATTCTTTCTAAAATATACACTGTGGCTAAATATAAAGGCATTATATGCCATATTTCTAAATGTTATCTCTAGCATACAAAATGCCACAAATTCAGAATCTCTTCTAGTGATTAACATATCAGGCAAAATTAAAACCTTAGTTACTTTTCATATTCATGCTGTAGTAATTATCATGATACTTTGTTTGAAAGGCTCTTAATAATGTCTGGAATTGTAGCCCTCACAACAATGGACCTTGCAAGCTCTCGGTCTTATGAGCAGCATGTAAAGGAGCTGGATTATTACAAGGTTCTCAACATCAAGCATAGCTCACCAGGGCAGGATCCTGCAGCTGCTTCAACTAGGTGTCGTTACAGCCGCTGCAGAGATGGATGTTCCTTGTGCTGCGGGTCCAGCTCCTACACCCACGGCATGGAACTGCTGGCAAGTGGCAAGTCTCACTTGTGTTGCATGGTTAAAGCTTCTATAAAAGGTACTGCTTATGGCATTATTAAGACACAGACAGAAATTAATCCTGAAACCTTACAATGGGATAGTCTCATACTCTACCAGCTGTGTGCTAGAAATCTTGACTATTGGCATTCTTGCCAGTTAATACTTATCTATAAGCCTTGTGTGTGTGTAAGGGAGAGGATCTAGCTTTTTTGCCCTGGTTAGAATGCAGTGGTGCAGTTTTAGGTCACTATAGCCTCTAACTCCTGGCTCTAGTGATCCTCCTGCCTCAGCTTCCTGAGTAGCTAGGATGATAGTATGTGATGCCATGCCTGGCGGATTTCCTTATTTTTTATAGAGAGAGGGCATTGCTTTGTCACCCAGGCTGGTCTCAAACTTCTGGTCCTAAGCAATCTTCCTGCTTTAGCCTCCCAAAGTACTGAAAGTAGGGCCATGAGCCACTGAGGCTGGCCTTAAGAACCTTTTTCAAATATTTGACCATTAGCAGTCATCACAAATTGAAGTTTTAAAACATTCTTTCTTTTCAAATGTAATGTTCTCAGAGAATTCATAAGATTTTTGTGATATAGGTAATAGTGTTTTATTTCTGAGCATACAAAATTTGACTTTAACAGGTGTTGAGACATAGTAAGTCTGCACAGACCCAGTCATAGGCCTGTGATTTAATTACCTGACCAAAAGGAAAGCTACAGAGTTAATGCCTTTGATTTCCCTGTTACACAAAAACAATTAACATTTTCACTCATTCTCTATATGATTCTGTAATAAAGGAAGTTACTTCCAAAAAAAAGACACTAACTCATTATGACCAGTTTTCTGCATATTTTCTATAGTGTTTCTAAAAAAGAAAAAGAATTACTATTTTATCTCTAAATCTTACACATTAATTTGGAGGGGAAAAGGTACTCATTTCACAACGTGCCACATCCATACCTGCGCTCTAAAATGCACATTACTATTCCATGGCCGCAGGGACAGGGAGTGTTCTCACTCACTGACGTTGTTTCAGATTGTCAGCACTTGGTGGTAATAATAATGATGATGCTGATTTTTATTCAGTTTTATTAGTGTTTTATAATTCTCTACAGACAGCATACCCCTTATCAGCTGCACCCGGGCAGAGCACGCCTTCTGCCCCCGATGCCCACCGTGGTGAGCCACTGTTTTTATCCCATTTATACACATCAGGAAGATGCAGCCGGGATGTGGTCAATGACCCGTCTGAGGTGACGTGAGAGGTGCAGATCTGGGAGTTCTGATGATAAGCCTGGTATTTCCCTACTACACTTCCTCCACTTCTAAGGATGGCCAGATTTTGTCCTAAGATATAATACTTTCATAAAAATATATTTCTTAAACATTAAAAAATAGATATTACCCAGATCTTCCTAAGTTCTAATCCAACCCAGCACTGAGCCTGAGCAGTCGCGTTCATTCCTTCACCCTGGATCCCTCAAAACCACAAGGGAAGTGAACTTCTCCTGCCACCCACACAAGTCTAGCCAGTCCTACAGCCTCGCTGTGTCCCTCCCCACCTCACCAGTTAGCCTCTTCAGGTATCTCCAGCCGCCTTCCACTCACTGGTCCCTTCCCCTATTTAAATGTGCTCATTGCAAACAAAATGAAAAGAAAAAGAATCCCTTGTCCTTCCTTCCCTCTTCAGCCAGCTGTCACCCCTAAATCTTTCCCTTGGTCTTTAAATTTCCAGATTCCTTACTCTCTGCTCATTGGGTACGTTCTGCCATCTTCCATTTGCTATTCCATTTGCTGTGTGTTTCTACCTCCTGAATCGTTAGAATCTGTGCTTGACCTATTTGCCAGGTCTGATGGTTTATGTAGACCATGGTGGCCACTGCAGCTTACTCCTTGCAGGCAAGTGTGGTCCACTTTGGAGCAGGGACCTCCATATCTTTGGCTGAGCTCACCCACTCAGTGAGGCTTTCGAGTTTAGTATCCAGTCCCCATCAGTGCCACCAGGTGCTTGATGGTAAGGGCCCTCTTCCCCCTAAACATGAAGCTCCTTGCTTCAAGACCTCCAGATGTGATGAGTTAGAGCACCCCTCTCTCCAACCCTCAAAACTCAGTTTTCATACTATCCCTCCTTAGCACAGTGTTCCTCATACGCCTTGTCTGTGTGAATCACCTGGGGATCTTAAAAAGAAGATTCTGATTCATCAGGCACAGAGTGGAGCGTTTCTGACAAGCTCCCAGGTGATGCTCACACTGCTGGCTGGCACACTGCACTTTCAGTAGCAAACTGTTTCCATTTTAATTACATGTTTGGACCCAGGTTTTTTAGGAGATTCTCCCCATCTGAAAATTTCTCTTTTAAGCTCTGAAATACATTGAAAATCCTCTGAGCCACCCACCTAGAGATAAAGGATGGTGCTGACCACAGTAGCAACAGCTACTTTCCTCAGCAGAGGCTGGGAAAATCACCTTCCCAGGCCAGTGTGCCTCATTAATGGCACCACTTAGCTGCCTAAGTTTTGCTCCCTTTATCTGCTTCTTAATTTTTACTGCTCCCTAGGATTCCATTCGTGTTCTTTTCTTTCTTCCTAGGCATGTGGGGTTGGCCCTTGGTTCCTGTCCATGCCCTCTGACATCTGTTGATGCTCCTGTGGTGGATCTTGTGGATTTGACTGGCCATCACGCCTTCCCCCTTCTTTCATCACCTACACTCTCCTTGTCCTTTGGAAAACTATCCACCCCCTGAATTAGCAAGTAGTCTTGCTGGGACTGCCAGGAAATCCCTAAACCTATCAGACCTTCTCCCCCAGACTGTAGATCTTGAGAAGTGACATACAAGGTTGAACAAATAAGTTCGTGAACTCATCCTAGAAAAAGTGCTCCCTACCTCATTGCTGAATATGACTACGGTCCCCTTTGAAGTGCTTCCCTTGGGAAGCTCTGCACTGACACCAGCACACAGTCCACACTCGAGAGCACTTTCACTAAAATGAGTTCATGAACTTAGTGGTCAGACTTCATATGATGACAGCTTTGATGCCATTCCAGAAAAAGGTTCCAAAACTGCTTTGAAGGGTGGACTAGGCGCTGGTGTTGGTGAACAGCTTCCCAAGGGGAAGGTGACCATAGTGATATCCCACTTTGAAGGTGACCACAGTGACATTCAGCAATGCAGCATGCAACACTTTTTCCAGGATGAGATTTCCAACTTAATTGTCCAGCCTCCTAAGAGCTGAAAAATGGTCAAAGCTGATTTATTCTGATGGCGCCGTCAAGAGATCTGTTTCTGTTCTTTCTCCCTGAAAGACTGCCCCGACTTTGCTTCTCGGGGATGGCTGTTCTACTGTCCTTTTATAATCTGAACTTCCCTCATCCCTCCAGTAAACCCCTATTTTGCTTATGTAAGAAGCATCCTCAGAGTTGTTGTGCCCCAAGGGCCCTAATGTGTGCCCTGCTCCTCAAGTAAAGGCCCATCTCAGACTCGTTTCTCACCTAGGTTTTTCAATGCCTTTTCTTAACTGGTCTCCCAGATTTCAGATTCTTCTCTTATAGTCACTCAAAAAATATTTTTTGTATGTCAGCAGTTTATATATCTGTCAGTTTGCTAGAGTGCTAAGTGCCAGGGATCTAATGAAAAGCCAAACAGAGGTTTGGGTCCTCATGTAATCTATAGTGGGAGACATGTAATTATAGACCATGGCGGCTATAAGCTACAAGTGGAAAATAAAAAGTCCTGAGCAACTGACAGGAACGTTAGCCAATGCCTGGGGGAAGGGGGCTTCAGCCAGGGAAGAGTGTCTGTCCCCCCGCCACCCCTCTGCCTGTCCAGGGACTCACCTTAATGCTGCCAGCTTCAGTGCTAAACTTCAGATTTGGCACAGGCATCATGTGTCCTTCTCCCTTCTTTTTTATGGAGAGTCCTGTGTCATCTCTTGTGAGATGTCTTCATCAGCTACCCTAGGAAGAGTGTCACCTCCATGGAATTTCATTCACATATTTTTTAAAACAACATTTATCACAGTGTAACACATTTGTTTATACCTAAGACAGTAAGCTTCTGTGGACTGGGATCCTCATCTTGTTTGTTGCTTCCTAAAACTAAGCACTATCTTAGAAGACTGTTTGCTAAATAATTTAATCTGTGATAATGACATTTTTGTCTTGATTGACAAAATTACAAAATCTCAGTCTCAGTTAGGGTTGGGTGTCTCCAAAGAGATAGTTAGCAGAGTCTAGAAATATTGTTAGTTGTCAACCTTGGGAGAGGTGCTACTGACATCTTGTGGGTAGAGGCAGGGATGCTGCAGTAGGGTTGTTCCTGTAGCAGAGTATCTCCGCCCCAAATATCAGGAATGCTGAGGCTGAGAACCTGTTCTTGGCTTGCTACCCTAAATGATCTTCTATTTATGCTGTAAATTGCCAGTAGGATATTTTTGCCTCAGTGAATAAGCGCTGAAAGTACTAATATCATTGATTATAAAATCTACAAGTATACTAGTCAATTCTTTAGAATGGTATTTCTCAAATTTGACTTTACATCCAGAATCACCTGGAGACCTTGTTAAAACACAAGTGGCTCAGCAAACCTGGGGCAGGGCCTGAGAACTTGCATCTTTCTCCAGGGATGTTAATGCCGCTGGTCCACGACCACACTGTCACTGCTTAGAAAAGACCCCAGAGTTAGCCTGAAGGTTTATCCACATTCCCTCCATGGTTCCCTTGGCAACGCCTGGACCCCAGCAGAGGCCATGCCCAGACACTTGAGGTGTAGCTTTCCTGGGCAGCCACATCTTTAGTGTTCCTCAGTCTCCTGGCCTAGAGCTGCATCCGTGATGGCACCGGGCTGGCAGCACTCCAGACCTCTCTCTTCTTGAAAGCAGATGAAGGCTGCCAGCAGGGCCAGTCATGGTCCTGAGGTCTAGGGTCATGAGAACAAAGTGACATCTCTCACCTCCCAGATCCATATCCTAGCTCCTCAGAGCACTTGTATCAGAAAGGGCTTTTAAATTCATGAGCCTGTGCTCAGTAATTCTGGGAGTTAGCTAACGAATCTGCATTTTTAACAACCTCCCTGCGTCACTAGTCCTCAAAGCTGGTCCTCAGACGGGCATCCTCATCACCGCCCACGCACTCATTAGAAATACAAATTAGTGGCACTGCCCTAGACACACGTCCTCTGAAATTCTGGGGTTGAGGCCCAATCACGTGTCTTCTAGGTGATTTAGTTGCATGCTCAGGTCTGAGAACGAACTGGCTTAAATCATTACGCCCCTCAAGTTTAAGATCTCAGGACACCGGTTATTCACTTTAGGTTTTAGATTCCTTTCCTACCTGGCTATGTCAAAACACCTACAGGAAGCGAAGTGTCCCCAACAAAAGGGACTGTCGCACAGTCACACGCAGCGAGAATGAATTCACTGTTGAACCGTGGTTGTTGGCCCGCCCAGCTCTATCCGCCCGGGCGGCTGTCCCTAAGGGGGTCGGCCGGGCTCGCTCCGACGGCCACCCCAGCCAGGCGACCTCGGGCAGAGGCTGGGCGGGCGGGCTTTCCGGGAG